TTAGGACCGTATTGCGTATCGCCTTGATATTGCCTTAATTTACAAGCATTCCACTGGTAGCCACTATCCATGCTTGTAAATTAAGGCAATATCGAGGCAATACGCCTAGTATGCACATGTCCCAATAAGGGACTGATCAATTGCAGTCCTAAACATCAATCGGCAGATTCAAGTAAAACAATATCAAGTGAATTATGAATAGTCATTTGTTAAATATTATGATCATTCTTAATACACAATATAATTCTAAGTGGTAAATTTATTAAAATAAGATTTTAGTAGTACAAAAAGAGTAGTATAAATTTATTTGAAACCGTCAATTCTGAATTATTGTATTTTTTTAAATACTAAAACACTTGTATTCTGTTTACAGGATATAAAGCAATTAGTGCCTTTTATAAATTTCGATAGAACAATGAGAAGACGGAGTTGATCTGATCAACTTCGTCTTCTCATTGTTCTATCGAAAGTTTACAGGATAATTCAATTATGAAGAATATTTTCATTAAGTAAATTTGGAGCTCCAAAGAATTACTCAGAAAAGCTTCCAGAAGCAAGGAAAAAGCTGAAAATATTTCTCTTGATTAACATTGCATAGAAACTTTCCGGAAAATTTTAGAAAAATGAATTATTTGTCATAATTTAGCTAGATCGTCATTCATTTTGTTAGTAGATTTAGCATGCTGTCAAAAGTTTCAGGAAGGTTGGGGAGATCTGTAAATCTATAAATAACCTTGTGTTTATGTATCCGTATTAACCATAGAGTAAAACTTTTTTTATTTAACGAGTTTTCTCTAATTTCATGGTTCAAGTAAAGAATAAGTTTAGGGATTTAAGAGGCGATTGGGGACTCAATATCTAGCGTTCAAGTAGTACATTTATCAGAATAGACTTTTATTTATGAATGAACTAAACTTGATTCACTTTAGTTTACTTAGGAGATAAACAAACTTTTAGGATATATGAAAAAGAACTAAACTATAGAAAAGTAATATTTATACATTAACAAATGGACAAAAAGTAAATAGCTTTACGAAATAAGATATAAAGATTTAAATAATTGATAATATACATATTTCAATAAAATATTCACAATAACTATTAAGCAAAGTAAACATTAAGGATGATACACTGTAAGCACTAATGTATTAATAAGAAGAACCAATTATAAAAATTTCTATAGTTAAATATCATTTATTTTCAAGTTGAAATGGATTCAAAACTTTACCAAGTTTTAAAATATAGTTGTCATAGTTATCGTCATTTAGAATTTTTTTTTTTACTAATGAAATACTAATAAATTGAGGGAATTAATAAACAGTTAATACTTGCATGCCCAACTTCTAAGGATATATATATATATATATAATCACCTTGTTGTACTGCTTATATGTATTTTTTGACATTATATATACACATTTCTCTCAATTTGATCTAAATATGACGTATTTTGTTTACAGTATATGTTAGGAATAAGCGTATCTTTGTCAATATATATATATATATATATATATATATATATATATATATATATATATAACTTTACATTATGATTATTTTTATTACTTGTCAAATGATTCAAAAAGAATTACCAAAAAAAGTTTTAAATTCAGTTTATACAAGGTGGTTAAGCATATAACCGATAATTATAACTTAAATGATCAGAAATATGTTGCCTCTTTTTTTCTAAATGGAAAGCCATCATCCAGAAGATACAAGTGTTTAATAACGGTTGTCTATGTAAAATACTTCGGATCCGTTGGCCAGACACTATAAGTAACAACCTAATGTGGGAGAGATCAAACCACATCCCGGCGGAGAAAGTAATCAGAAAGAAGAGCTGGAAGTAAATAGGACATACATTGAGGAAAGCACCCAAATGTGTCACAAGGCAAGCCCTCACTTAGAATTCTCAAGGGCAAAGGAAAAGAGGAAGATCAAAGAATATATTACACCGAGAAACGGAGACCAACATGAGAAGAATGAACAACAATTGGATAGAACGAGAACGGAAGGCCCAGGATAGAGTGGGTTGGAAAATGCTGGTATGTTGCCTCTTTAAGTGTTTACACAATCATCATTTAATTCTGGATTTTCTTTCTCAAGATTTTAATGAACCGAGTGAACTTTTGCAAAAATCAACAAGATATTCGAATTCAAAGTTGATTATAGGGTCGTCTAACTACTTTTTTTCAGTAAACATTTTATTGTTTAACCAAAAGACTGTTTCATTTGTTTTATTCAACAAGACAGTAATGTGTGTGATAAATGAATTTCAATAATAAGATCTTGAGTTATTTTTTGTAAAGTTGAAGAGTGATCAGCAGTGGAATCCAGTATGTATATTTTATCTTATTTGTGTTATGTTGGGTGAATGTATTTTCATTCTCATGTTAATGTTTACACTGTGACTTCGAACCTAGTTCCTTCTTTTTTAAACTTCAATGCGTTATCCATTCAGGTATTAAGTCTACATAATTAGTGGTTCGCTAAACCGGCATGAGTTTGTTTTGTAATCTAATCTGCAATGTCATAAAGTGATTATACTTTCAATTATTTTCAAAAAAAATCAGCGTGAATAAAATGACTTAACAGGTCTTAGATATCATGATTATACAGACGCTCAAAAGTTTTGTATTACATATCAGATTGAATTTTGGGTTAGTACGTCAAAGAAGTCCAGAACTTAGCTGAAACAACTAATCAATGCTTCTTAGTTTCAGTTGATATCATGTTTATGAAGAAAACAAATTTTCCGAGGATCTTGAGGTATGTTTACAGTTTCTATAATTTTAATAGAATGAGTAAAAAGTACAAATATATTATTTATGTCTTATGAACCAAATGACTGTGAACTTGTATGCTAGTGTAAAGAATCAGCTTTATGATGTAAATACATAACTTAAAAGTATGTAAATCTATACTTCTGATTAATATGGAGTTTAATAAAAAAGAGTTTTTTGTATCACGTAGGAACTGTAGAATATTTGTCACAAGATATTTTTATAAAAAGGTATAATTATGAGAATAGAAAATTTCAGAGTAGTTTTATTCTCTATCAATACACATTTTATAAACATAGTCATTTGTAGTGTTGCGTTATAATTATTTCCTACCGGTATAATGATTGAAGTCTTCCAAATACTTCATCAATACATCATTTAATTAAAAGAGTAAAATATTTGGTTAAACAAACACAAAGTACATAACACTAGCAACTGAGTAGTAAATATTACAAAAAAATAACTAAATATTTCCATCTTATTACAATACTTTCAAAAATACAGGATGGCGTGCGTATTCACCTATTCAAGGTTAATAAAGTTTAACATATTGATTTAATAATAAAAATACATTATGGTTGCATAAAAATTACCAAACTGAGGAGAAAGAATTTTTCTTGCTCAAGACGTAAAAGATGAAATACCTATTGAAAACTGGAGTGAAATAATATTGAAGTAATGGTATGTTGTTTGTAAGCTCAAAAGACTCCCTGATGAACAGTGTAATAGAAGTAGTTCGTGGAATTGCTTGGATATGGTCCATGATTTGATGAACGAGTTATACGTATACTAATTTATCGATATATAAATAAAAATGTTCCTGTTAACAAAAATGTTAGGATCGAAATAGAGAACCAGCATCAAAAATTAAATAAATAATAAATCCACAGTTAAAACCACGAACTGATCTTCAGTAGACCACCACTGAAAACCTGGAAGTACGAGATAGCTGTCTCGTTTTAGTTCGAGACTGCTTAGCAGTGCGGATTGACGATCTCATATTCAGAAATCGAACCCAGGACATTTGGTTTTGCGCACGTATGCTTAACCTCTAAACCACTAAAGAATGTCTAGCTTCAATCAATCATTCATCTTGCATAACTCTTCATTCATTACCTGTGTTGCGTAACTGTCTCAAACCCAACACGGTCGAACTCCACTGGTCACCACTTCATACTAGAACTCCAGGAGTTAAATCTTGAAGCTTATCGCTAGTGAGCACATGATTGTTATTGGTTGGGAAAATTTGTGGAAATTGTAGTATTTTCACAGTTGAAATCACAAATATTATTTCTGTTTGTTCTCACTAAAATTCACAAGGAGATTTAGTAAGTTCAGTTTCTTATACCTTTTCAATTTAAGGAACGAAAAGACTCAGTCAAACCCTGATCAGAATATTATTTGCAAATAAATTGACTTACACATTGAACATTAAATAAATAACATTTTAACTAAAATTTGTACTGCAAGCAAAGATAGAGGATGGCTAGCAGTGGAATCTAAGGCGCGCGTCTCATCCTATGTGGGGCTCGTCAGCTGAATGTACCTGCATCTGAGTTGATGCTCACTCCGGGACTCGAACTCAGTACCGTCCACTTCAAACGCCAGCTCGTTATCCACTTAGCTACTGAGTCCTGATAGCCACTTGCTTATGCAATGAGGTGACGTTTGAATCCTCCTACTGATGTTTAGGACTGCAATAGATCAGTCTGTTATTGACATATATACATCCTGTGCAAACGGCTTCGACATTGTCTCAAGTTACGAGCATTATATGCAAAGATGGCTGGTTTCAAATAGAACGAAACGCGCGTCCGGGATTCCACTGCTAGCCACTATCTATCTTTGAATATAATGCTTGTGACCTAAGGCAACATCGAGGCAATCCGCACAGGATGTACATATATCAATAACAGACTGATCTATTGTAGTCCTAAATGTCAGTGGGAAGAGTTAAACAAACAATACAAAATGAATTATGATTCATGTATTTAGGAAAATCTTATACTGTATTCTGATCAAGAGTAGAATATGTTAGAATAAAGTATTTCCGTCTAATTATTTAAATTATTATCATTACTGTAATCGTTTTATGTTAAATTATTCCTCGTAAAGTTGATGATGCGTTAAAGTTCAGCAAGAAAATCCACTTTGAGATATGTACATATCCTAAAATCGTAATACTGAAATTATTAATCTATTACAGTAATTAGTTTCTTAAGGAGAATAACCCAAGTCATTACAAGTCTCCATAGTATAGTCGAGTTTTGTTATATCGGATTCTAAAACGCCATAAACTTTTATAATGAGTACATAATTTTTTAAATCAAACTAAATTTAAGAAAATATAACAGGATATTTAAAAAAGACAATACACTATTAGTTATTATGATAGTAATTTTAAGATTAGTAGTTCATTGGTAGTCAGGGCCGACTGTTGTATTATTTGATGTCCGGTTTCGATACTGACACACCGTTTTTCTATACACGAATCCAATGGCTATTCGAGTCAAAAGAGTTAGTGATAAAGGAAGTCTTTTGACCAATCCAGTCGTTCTGTATGTATACTCAAATAAATACGTATTCGTCTGTCTCTAAAAAAAATTAGATCATCCATAGTGTATATCTCATTCTTGAGACAATGTAAAACCTTCCGCGGCCAATCGCATGCTTTTGTCACTTGCCCTACTTCTGATTGATTCAGTGTATTGTCCTTCTTTTCTGAAGAATAAGTCTGGCTTCTCAGAGCTAGTTGAAGGCGTTAAGTTTGTAGCAGACTATAATAATTATTTTTATAATGTATTAATATCGCTCAGATTTTAAATATGTTTACGTATTAGGTCTAGTAGTAAGGAAAAACATCCAAATTGCTGGGTTAAAGTAAAATATTTATTGGGGGAAAATAATCACATTACGATTTCCTGCAGTTGCTAAGAGGTGTTTAGGACTATATAATTCGATACAGACTATTTTCGAATAAATAACTAGTGTATTTCTCTTCTCACTATTTATAACTTACTGGAACTTCTTGATATTAATTTTATTTAACAAAAAGTTGGAACCTATACTAGATTGCATAAATGACTTGCTTGATGGATCCGACAAACATAAAACCAACATTTAAAGCGTCTGAATAGCTTTCTTCATCATCATCAATAGATATAGTAGAAGTAATTCAGTTTAATTACATTGTATTTATTCATAAATAAACCATCTGAATTGTGTTTTGCTTATTCAGTTTAAATGACAAAATAGTGAGTTACCCATTTTCTGAAAACTACAGGTGAATTTCCAGATGAAATCGATCTATTGTTCTACCTTGTGAAATGTAGTTCACAATGACTTATTTAGTCATGTAGATCTACACTTATGTTTAGCTATTGGTGTCAACCCTGATTAGGGTTTTCTGTCAGCTATTAATCAACATCATTTGACTAACACTACAAACTAATCAGTATATCAGAAGGCATAATTTGATCATAGATAAAAGAGGATAGTAATTCATTATGAAGTTTTATTGATTTTAGTTATATTCTCAAAATAAATCTGAAGTGATTTCTGTTAATTAGTCTGAAATATTGGATAAATCAACATTAGTTTAATGCAGTTTATATTGAATGCCATTAGCATAGTATTTGTAACAAACGAGGACACAACTGGAAACAATCGAATGTATTTGAACATAAAATTACAGAACATCTTAGTAAAATCTGACAACCATGAAGTAAATACTTAATTTGCAAAATATCAATTAATTGTATCTAACTTGACTGTTCTTTTGCAAATATCAGTCAATCGTTTCAGATTTCAATGTTCCTGTATTTACATAATAATTACTTTCTGTTCTTATTCTTTCCTTCTTGATCTTCTACTGATAAATATTCTAATCCTGACTATCGTTATATACTACTCATGTTAATATAAGTAGCATACACACCACAGATTGACATAATCAACTTTGCACAAAACAAATTCAAATGAAACTTACTTTGATTAAGTTGAGAAAATTGATTCAGCTTTCTATTTAATAATGTAAAGATTGTTGACCAAATTTCATTTGAATTAAAATTTCCCATTGATAAATATAATTTATTAAGTTTTTCAATTTCATTAAATAATTTATCATCAGTATTATTATTACTATTACCATAACTATTATTGTTATTACTATTATTATTGTGACTTTTATTTTTACATAACATAGTATTCAAGTGAATTTGTAATGGATTACGTAAATCTAATGGTTTATCATTATTTATTGAATAATATGAATTTGAATACACCGGATTAGATATATAATTATAATTAAATATTGAACTTGTTAATTTTTGTAAATGTTTTTTAATACTATTTTGTTTTAAATATAATTTTTCATTATCATATAATGATTTTATTGGTAACACTGTTGATAATGAAGGTAATGTTAATGTTAATGTTGATGATGATCCTGATGATGATAATGATATTGATGACGATGATAAATAATTATTCTTTTTAAGAAGATCACTACAATGAACAATTTGATTAATTTCATTTAATGAAGTTATAGGCATTAAAATATCATTGATTTTATTTTCAAAGTTATTATTCTGATTAGTAATAGAAGTTTTCAAAGGATTAAATGCATGGTTACTATAAATTGTATTGATTGATTCGAAAATTTTATTGTGAAGATTATCACCACCTTGATTATTATTATCACTACTATTACTATTATTATTATTAGTAGTAGTGGTAGTAGTATTGACTGTTCGATGTAAAAAGTTTTCTATTTTTCTTGTTTTAATTTGAGCAGTTTTATGTATAGGATTTATATATTTATATGATAAATTTTTATTAAAATATTCATTTTTTGTTAATTTTGATTTTAAATTAATTAAATTATTTTTATTTAATTTATTAATAGATTTTAATACATTTTTTGAATTTTTATTTTTATATTTTATTGATTTTAATGTATAAATTCTCTTATGTTGATTATTCCATAATGTTTTATAAATATTTTTGTATTTTTGATAATTTGTTGTTAAATTAGAATAATAAATAATAGGATTATTTATTGTATTTAATTCATTATGAATGTAATTACATTTTAATTGATTATTTATTTGTTGAATATTTGTTGAATGTTCTATTAAATTATCCAATTTATTTTTATTATAATTTTGATTAAGTTTAAATGAATGATTAAATGTAATTGATGATGATGATGATTTAGGTTGATATTGACATTTTTTCTTGATATATGGTTCATTTAATTCTTGTTTAGGTAATTCATGTTTTAATAAAGGTGAAATATTAGAATGTAATATAGTATCTCTATAAGAATTTGTATTAATAGAAGAATTACCGTTACCAATCGTATTTGTATTATTATTCTAAAGATAAATAGAAAAATAAATAATTCAAACAATTAGTTCTTATGATACATTTCAATAATAAGATGAGAAGATAAAGTTTAACTTCGTCTGAGTATTAATTTATTCATTTCACAAATTCTCCTTAACCATTTACAGCTGATTCTATACGATTACATTATGTTTCAGGCAAAAAAAACTGTGTATACTTTATGACTATGATATAAAGAAAGTATTGACCAAGATTGAGTTAGTTAAATGAAATAAATGTAAGAGAATTATAAAAAAAGGAGCGGTTCAGAAAGACAGTTCTTTTAAGATGAAGAATTTCTGTTATGAGTTACTTAATGATAATTACAAAAAAGAATTGATTAATAGAATAAAGTAAGAAAATCTCATATTGAAAACAAGAAAGTAGGAAAATTTATAAGTAATGCAGTAATATACAATATTACTTAAGTAAATGTTGGAAACTGAGGTTATCAGTTATATGAAGTTGGCAGTATTGTTTTTTAAATAGATAAAAATGATCTAAACCGTTCTGCGTTGATAGATTTAATAAAATTCAACGAACAAGCAATTGTCTACATATCGAAAAATTTCGAGACATCAATGTTCTGTTTTCTATCTTACAAATAGCGAACTATTGTTTCGCTTAATAGATCCATTTAATATCAAATTTTAGCGTGTACATATAAGCTAGTACACACAATTGGAGGTAACGATAAGAGGGAATTTCTATGATTATGAATGTTTAAACAAACAGCAAGTTTGGTATGGTCATAAACTCCAAAACTATTATTATCATTATTGTATTGCGGTAACTTAAGTGTTAAAATTTCATAAGTTGAAAATAGCAAACTTTACGTCAACTAAATCTTTTTCTATCCAAACTGAGAAACGGATCATTACATGATGCTCTTAATAAGCTAGTATACTACTTCCGTTACACAGATGACACATTAACTATTTGCTACAAAACTACTAACCTACGACAACTCGATCAATTTTGGATGAAAAGAAAAAATATAACAACAAGATAACATTTCTTGACGTCCTCCTCTGAAGAAAGTTGGATGATTCGGTATTTAAAATAGAAACTTGGGCAGGGAAATCTCTCTACTTCTGTAGCTTCACAGAACATTGATATAAGACTATTTAATCTAGCTGAACGACTGGGTCACAGAATCTGACAACAGTTAAAAGAAGAACTCAACAATCTAGGGGTGACGTTGCTACTCTGGTAAGTTCACAAAGGAATAATTAACTGAACCTGAAACAAGACATTTGAAAGGAAAACTCTATACCTAAGACTTGATTTTCAAAGTGATATAAGAAGTAGGATTCCAACAAATCGAATGTCCAGATGCATTACAACAACTTTTAATGCAGTTAAATTTTACACAAGTATTTTTTAATAAGGAAAATACTGATTCAGAAAATTAAGAAAAATGTATCAGTGATGGACTTATCTTTGTGTGTTTACCAATTTAACTGTTCCTGTAGGTCTAGTTACATCAGCCATACTGTAATATTCTTATTCTTATGTTCTTGTGAACACGTACAGATTTGGTTAGGAAAAGACGTCATGAAGTCTGTTAATGGTACTATTCTTTTCCACCTGATTGCTAATGGACATGACATTAAAATTTAAACATACTTTTCAGTTACATTATCAGTTTCCTAGTAAACTACCAAAAGGTGCAAGACTATACTTACACTATACAGCTGAATCACTTGGCACTAATTCTAACTAACATATGTATACAAAAAAGATAGATTCAACATCTTTGTTTGTTTTGGCCTAAATTGTGGTCGTTTTATTCTTAGTTCTAGTTTTCTCCTTACTTCAATCTGATTTACACTCCTTTTCTCTCACAGTAATTTATACATTTGTCTTTCTTGTTTTACATGATGTTCTTGTCAATAACTATTTCTATTGTTATTATTAATACCATTATTATTGTTACTATTTCAAATAAGCACTATGGAACAATCCCTATTTTGTATAAATTTTTTACATGAAATTTTAATGATAAGAACTCATTTTCTTACCCTTTATGCATTTTAATTTAGCACTTTGTATTATTTAATCAACGTAAAATTTACCATTTTCAACTTAAAACATGGATAGATTCAACATTGATAGTTGAATTCATGGGTCGATTGAAGCAAGACCGTCATGAAAAACCTGGAAGTACTGGACGGCCGTCTCGTCTTAATGCGAGACTCCTCATTTGTGCATATCCACGATCCCGCTTGCAAGAGTCGAACCCAAGACCTTCGGTCTTGAGCACGAACGCTTAACCTCTAGAACGATGAGCCGTCATCCAACGGTGTTTATGTTTAACTTCAACGCTGTTACTTTATCCAATGCAATACAATAATAACTGCTTCACTGAAGAGGTTATTAAAAATGATCGTACGCTTTAATACTCTTTGGGGGGGGGGTTAAAATATTTATCAATTATTTTTTATGATTTCTATTTAAGAATCATTTTTAATAAATTATATAGAAATTATGCAAAATATTAATGAAATATCTTAGGAATATTTTCGAATGAGACAATTAAAATTTTGTTTGAATCTTCTTGTTGATGTTTTAATGATCATAATTAATCATCTGTTGACATATATTAGTCCTAAGTGTATTGACTGGACATTATCATTTAGTCAGAAATACATCGATAACTTTAGTCAGCTGTTAGTAACAACATACGTTTCAGCTTAGTTGAGACTCTTTATCTATATCCTAGAGTTATTTACCAATTACTTTTTACAAATGACATAACTAAAAGCTTATATTCAATTAAACAAATATGATAGACGATTTATTTATAATTTAACATAAGAAAAGTTTATTTTTATGAAATATAAAGACAAAGTCTTACCATACATTGTTCATTCCGACATAGAAAGGGTAAATCAATCATTCTGTTTAATTTGATTTGAAAATTTTCGTCTTATTGAATGTTATCTTTATTTATTTATTTTTTGGATCAATCTTTCCTCAATCGATACAATGAAATTGTAAAATGATCCGTATAGGGTATATGATTAACAATTATTCAAAGTATTTATACTCATAGTGTAGATAAGTAATTGTTTAAATAACTATTACAATATACTTTATAAATTAATTTTTCACCGTAATTCCAATGTTTATTTATATATGCATGTAGTTCATTCAAATTTCTTTCATTATATGTATAAATGTTTTATGATACTGAATGAAAAGTAACAAAGGAAATTATATTACTTAAATACTAATAAATGAATTCCAATGTATTAAAATAATTAGTAATTATATTTAAAAAAAAATTTTTATAATCATATTATCACGTGTTTATTTGTTAATATTTTGACTTTTAATACAAAGTTAACTGTATAGTTACAATTGCAAAGTAAATTCTCTATAGTACTGATAACAGTATTCAAATAGTTTTAATGTTAAAAGTACTATTAGCAGAAATGTTTTTGCATTTCAGATTATACATATATATATTTATATATACTTATGTAATACTTGTTGAAGTAAATAAATACCAATTTTAATGAAAAAAATCACAATCCACAAGGTAATTATACAAAATTTGAGAAATTTAAATGGAATTATGTTTAAAAGAAGTTAGTTGATTTATAAATGTAATGACTATATGTTCAAAAAAACAAACAAATAAATGTAACGTATGTGTATTTGACTTTTGTTGTTGTTGTTGTTGTTTAAATTGGACAATTTTGTATAACAGTAATTTTTATGTTTTATGATTTATGCACAACTTGATCAATATACTGTATAGAATGTAGATATAATTTGGATGAATATAATAATAATATTTTTGTCAAATAACGGTAGGTTTACTGAGGTGTTTCTTTAAAATTCATTTTGATATTCCTCATTATCACTTTGTATAATTATTCACTTCAGACAAGTTTGGTCGAAGCATGGATTAAGTGGAATAGAAAATATGGTTACAGATTGTTATATTTATCTGTGTTATCAAGTTAGTAACAACCCTAGAGAAAGATATTAGTCTTAAAGTAATCTTTACAACAATATATCAATCAGATAAATCTTATTTTTATTTCAATATACCTTGTACGAAAATGTATAGTCATACATACGTACACAGTTGCACATTTTTATCAGTGTTTAATTATTTTTCTACCAATTAAACAGTAAATGAATAAGGTATGAGAAAAACATTTTGTGTTGGTTTAGGAAATGGCGCTTCAAATCCTGGTAACCAAACAAGTAACCTGGTCACTACAAATTTATATATGTGAATAAACGATACCTGGCATTGATTGCATCAGCAAAAGCAACTTCACCATATGTAAAAACACTATGAAAAGGGAGGAAATCGTATGTGTGTTTTTATGACTTGAAAAATATACCGACTAGTGGAGTTCACAAGTAAAAGATAGGAAATTTTTTGATGGGGTAGGGGAGAGAATTAAAAATTTTACAATTTCATCCAATTATTTATCCTTTTTATTTTCTAGGTATCTCTTTCTTGTCAATTGATAGTAACTGTGAATTTTTGTAATTTCTACATTGGTGAGAGAAATAGATGATTATGTGTATTATTTAGTTGCTGTTCTGCACCAAAACTGTGTAGGCGAAAAAGAAACATGATAGGAAAACATATGTAGGTTAGGAAAAAAGAGATTAGCACGAAAGTTTGTGCTAACAACAATATAAAATCATATAAAATGTATTAGATAAATGATAGAAGTATGTACATTTGATGTATGTTGATTCTAATTGTTTTATTATAATTTCAGTTTGAAAAGAAATTCTTAATGCTTAAATCTAAATAAATGATAATTTTTTTTCTATCATTTTTAAATTAAACTAAAGTGCTTACAAACTCAGCAGGTAATGAAATATTATTAATTTTATTAGAGATAAATAACTGAGATGCAGTTATATCCAGCTGACGAGTCTCAAATGGGAAAAAACGCGCGTCCTGGATTCCACTGCAAGTCCCAACCCATCTTTGTTTATAAAAGCTTGTAAATTAAGACAATATCGGGGCATACGCACAGTATGCACATATGCCAATAAGAGACTGATCAACTGAAGTCTTAAATCTCAATGGGAGGGTACAAGCAAAACAATACCAAGTGAATATAAATAACTATCGTTAATAAGAATTACATTTAATAGTTGCGATCATGAGTCAATTGAAGCTACAACACAACAAAAAACCTGAAAGCACCTGAAGGCCGTTTCATCCTATCGTAGGACTCCTCAGCAGTGCATATCCACGATCTTGCCCTGCGAGATTCGAACCCAGGACAGTGCATTTACTGATAGTCCCTACAATGGGTTTCATCAATATTCGATATTATTAAAAAAGATCATTACTTCAGATTTCTTGACATGAAAAACGCATATGATAACTTTTAACAATAGGCTAAAATTCTCATATGTCATGATTAATAAACAATTGGTGAAATCAAAATAGGTTATTTTCAGTGATTATAGTAATGTGCCCATAAAGTAAATTGAGTCAGAGTACATTACACTTGTAGTACTTAGCATAATTAACAGAGTCGAAGATTCCGGACTTTTTTCTGTTTTTTTCTATTAATTGAACCATATCTTTGTAGATGCATCTGACTCTATAATCGATGTATTCTATTTTTGTTTCCCATATAATATATAGACGGATTATTTATATAATTAGACTAGCTGGAAACGCGACATTAAAAAGAGAATAATAAATGTGTTAAAAATATCATACTTTATGCATGTAAGTGAAGCGTATGAAACACGAATTTTGCCTGAAAGCCGAAATCACTTAATGAATTATATATCCTCATATTATGCACAATGAGTAGATAAACAAATGTACATGTTGGTGAGGATGTAGAAAATGTACATTCGTGGTAGGTCACAGATAAGTAATAGAAATCAGTTCAAAATTATTAGATGGATACAGATGATACACCTATACTCACGTGATTGTCTGGTATGATATATGTTTAAACAAGGATAGATTCATATAGGACTAAATAGCACTCAGTTGACACACATTTTAATTACAAGTTCCTTATATCTTCATTTTAAACTTAATTGGAGTCCAAAATCTTAAATTCTAGACAATAAAATACTTTACTCTTCACTAAATACCAAATAATTTCCAGTTATAATGAAAACTTTAATTCTTTCTGAGGCTTCTGAGTTCAAGTTTTGAAATATTTATAAATGTTATTGAGATACTAAGAAACTGAACCCAGTAATGATACATGCATTTAAACTATTATCGTATATTGATTTGCATTAAACAGTTGACTAATTAATGTAATATCAATTGTGTTCACCTTAGTATTGCTAGTGTTTTTTAATTAAAACACGTTATCAACAATGAAGTAAATAGATCAAGAAATATCAGTAATTAATCCAATCAGAAAGCAAATAGAAAAGTGTGAGATAATACCTGATTAAATGTAAAAATGTTCACTGTTATCTAACAACGGTAACAATAACAATAATGACGGAAATTTAAGAAGGAATAAAGTTGGAAACAAAAATAAAATTAAAGAACAATAAAACACATGTATGGAGTTTCCAATTAAGTTAAGGTATCATAGTCACAATGACATTGCTATCTAGAAAATTTCCAATAAAATCTTATAATCCAAGTAAAATGAGTTTCCAACAAGTGTTTTGAGAATTTTATGAACTAAAGTTTGAAGAAAATGAAGTCTAAAGATTCACTGTTAATCATTAATAATAATAACGTACATTGAACAAATTAATATATATTTCTCTTTTTGATATCTTACAGAATTCTTTCTCTATCTACTCTGAATGATGTGGATTAAATTTTCGGTCAAGGTCTTACTGTCTCAATGTATAGCATAGTCTGTTTACTATTATTATTATTATTATTATTATTATTATTATTATTGCTATATGTTTATATATTGACTTTTAGGTTTACAAAATATGGTAGAAAATTTTATTCTAGACAATAAGATAATATTCATTAGGATGTAACATAAAGTAATAAGCTATAGAATGAAAAAACCATAACAAAGAAAACTTTGTTTGGTGGATAGTTGTTGATGAGTCTGTAACTCGATTTCCGTATCTGAGTGCGTGCTTATAGTCTTACATATTCTGTTTTTATAATTGCTAATAAAAATGTCAGTTTATTAACCAAATGGATGCGTATAAAGGTAAAGATTTGATTGAATATGAAACAGACTAAACAAAATTATAGTTGTTTTTGAAGTATAATTCTAAATTATTTGATATAGTATTTATAATGTATCTGAGTGAGTAATTCAAACTCCATTTAAATAAATTAAAATTTTAGTAGAGGAAATCACAAGTGAACAGATGAACTAAGAAAATGGTTACTGATAATTAAACATAGATTTGTATAGTGCCGTGCAAATACTATACCTCGTGGAATCTGAATTAATTTCCTAATGCAAGAGATATTTTATTAGGAATAAACGTGGTAAGGTTAGTAAATCCTCTCAAAGGTTATCATGTATGAGTATAAAAGTTCAAAGTCATCTCTTATTTATGTATATATATTTATAAAAGGTATCGATTCGGTTAATGTCGTGCACATATCGTTTTAAAATATATAGGTATATGTTCATAAGGGTTTGCGTTCTTTCATCATCAGTGCTCAGGACTAACTTCTACTCATTCTCTTTTGGGATACTTGCACAGTAAGAATAAGCTTCCTAACTACAGGCAAATTCAACTCTGAATACCAACACATGAAAAACACAGATATTTACGAACAATTAACTTGTTTTTCGGATAAATAAGTTATTGTCCATTTAAATTCCGTAACTTGGTGAACGATATGTTGCTGTTTGAAGTGTCATGCACTCTATTTGATTTGAAAATAAACTTTGAGATGCAGGTGCATCCAGAGGAAAAGTACTGAATAGGAGG